TCGTAGCGACTCTGGTGACCACTGGAGCACACCTTCCTATCCTTAACTGGGATAAGTGAAAAAAAACATCCTTGTATCGTTGATAGCCGCTATCTTGAAGTCCGTGTAAGCCACCTCAAGGCAGTTGTCCCCCCATGTGACTCAGAACGACATCGAAAAACCTTAAAACAAGCAAACATATTTTGAAGTGTTTGAACACATATCCAATAATAGGACCACCGAGTGTTTCTTTTTATACGTTTACCAGAGCTCTTGAATGCTCACCTTTTGTAGGTAGCTTCAGATTTGTTGGGCAGCAAGCCGTAAACCATTGGCTTTACCACGCCGTTGACGGTGGCATGCTCCGTTTTCAGTTAGTAGAACTGTGCCGGGTCACTTTAAAGGTCCCGTCCGCGAACCACGTAGTCGCCTGAGCAAGACAGCGCAAGTTGCGCTCGGTAGCAAAGATCAGGATTCTTTCGCCGTCGCCCTCTCCGCTATCGTGGAGGAGAAATGAGTCTCCTTTGGCTGTGGTCTACATGCAGGTAAAAGTCATTATTATCATAATATGTCGCGCACTGTGATATTGCGCTGCAATACACTTTGCTTTGAACTCTGTGGGCATTCGATCGTATGTCAGCTCTGCAAGATGATACGCTCAAAATTTGCCCGCTGCCTTTGCTTCCGGATGGTGCGCCGAAGTGTTGGCGGTGCGGGAATTTGCAAAGCAGTGTCGTCACTGACACAAGCAACCGCAGCCAGAAGTATTTGGTGTGGTGCTAGACGGCCTTCCACTGGAATAAAGGACTTTAGTGACCTTGTTTTGGGAATATAAGAGCAGGAACAGATTTTGGTACATACCAGATTTTTCCTTCATCTGATGACGAACCCAAGCACGTTTATCTTGGTGTTGTCAAATGCATGCGTATGGTCTCCTGAATAAGAGATTACACGAGTCTTGGCGTGATTGGTGACTATTTTAGTTTTACGAACTCCTCTTCGCCGGCAGGCTTAATACAACATAGTTTCGTAAACCTTATTGCAAGTGTAGGAATGTCCATCGTGAAGAAGCATATCGCTACCTCTCTTAGTAGTAACTACCTCCATTTAGAAATCGAGAGTGATATTTTTATAATCGGAGGGCAACCTGCATAATAAGTCCTGAAACGGGGCACAAAAAAAGAAGAAAAAAAAAAGAATCGCGTTCGGTGCGCTTTTTTCTATTGTGAACTTTATGTTCTCGAAGTTCTTTTGTAAGAAAGGTGACCCCGATAAGACAATATGCAGGCAAAAGGCTGCATGCTGCCTTAACTTGGGGTCATTGGGACATGCTTTTGTTTCCCGTAGTCAACCTCACTGCCCTTGTACGGATTTAATTAAGTGGCCCCCTTTCGTAACTTTCCTAAGAAAACAAGGTAGAAAAAAAACAAAAAACGTTTAACAATCTTGAAGTCATTGTGTGACGAACTGCCAGCGTGACGAATCACCCTATCACGAATGTTCCGCTGTGACGAACGGGCCTGTTACCAGTTGCCCTATGACGAATCGACATGTGACGAATGGGCCGTATCCCGTCTTGATCGGCTAAGCGGACGATGCCCGTGGTTGCATTCCGAAGCGTCTGGGTTCGTTTGCCTGCCGGACCGTAACCTCGGTCGGCTCCGTCTGCCTGAGGCACCTTAACCTTGGTCGGCTAAGTGGAGGACGCACATGCCCGTGCCTGTATTCCGAGGCCCCTGCTTCCTCGGAAAAGGAAACAACACTCGATCCTGATCTCGAGTGCCGTGTGTTCTGTACGCGTCTATTGTGAATCACTCTCGGTTCATGGGGGCGCCGGCACCAGAGCAGCGAGATACTGACGTCTGGATGACTTCCATACACCGGCGAGTATTTGGACTCTGAAAGAAACTTCCATGAAGCCACATCACGCGAGGGAATGCCAAGCCGTCTGACCAATGGCAGTGCGGTCCCCTAATCCCAGTATTCGTTGCATAAAGGACCGTCCACCGCACTCTCAAGGTACTCTCTGATTTTCACGCTACCATGTAAATAAACGGCTTTATATAGATGCGCCCTGGATCTCGACCGTTCTTCCGTTTTGACGAGGCCGGCGCGGGGTTCAAACGGAACACCAGCCCCTAGTCTACCCCCTTATAAATAAAAAGCAACAAGAAAATAGGAATTGAAATATACACTTCCGCAGTGCGCACAATTTTGCACAAAAAATATGTCGGAAAAAAAAAATCCTTTCCGCCCGAAGTAGATTCGAAGCGCCGCCACCGAGACGTCGGTATCGCCTGAGCAGCGCCTTGTACCGCTCGTCCACGAAACGCGCGGAGTAACACATTTTTTTGTGTTTTTTTATGCGCACTACTTCAGTACCTTTCCCAGCGTTGCACGCTATGTTTGAAACGGAGTATAGATAGTCACACCGGTGTGCGTGATGAGCGAGTCCAACGTCTTCGTTGGCGAGTCGTTTCTCGAAAACTCTCGCTCCGAACGCCGTTGATTGGCTCAGCCGCTCCGCAACTAGATCGCATCGCAAAAAAGTCGGGTCGAGTAGCGACTGCCCAAATCGCGTCGCTTTTTGCCCGCGATGGTCGCTTTTGCGATGAAAGTTATCGCGCGACTAGGTCACGCGATAACACGAGAAAAGCACGGGAACAGCACGGTTCCATAGAAGATAACATCCGCAATATAGGAGTCGTAATAGAATAATCACGGTGGTCCCATTCCAGTCGAAAACACAGTATTACTATGAAAAGCAAGTCCAGGTTAATGCTCTACATTATGTTCCAGCTTCATGATTCGTGATTCGTTCTTCGTCGTTCTCATTGGCTAACGTCGCAGTCTCATTGGCTCATTAGTGAAAATTAAATGTTCGAGACTCGCCAACCGCCGCCTTTCTTGACATGTCAGTGACCTTAGTCTCGGTGTTTTATTTTATAATTTTTACTGTGAAACTTGATAGCCCCATTAGAAAAAATTCAACCAGAGACTATGAGTTAACGAATATGGGAAGAAGAGACCACTAGCGTTTTAGTATTTGCTTGCTCAGTTTCCAGTCGAAGATATTCAAGTTCCTGTAGCGTGTCTGCCTGTTCACCAAATCAGCTTATTTTATTCCGTTTCCTATGTTCAAATCAACCTTGAACCTTGAATAAACAGTGATATGGTTTCAATGCAGCTTCCTGAGTTGGCGAGTTCACATCTTGGCTGAGGTAGTCGCAACCTGAGAGAAGCTAACTGGTGTATAAGCGTCGTTTGACTGAGATTTTGTTTCTAAACGGAAAAATAGAAGCTTGTCCAGTTAATCTTCCCTCCGTCACCAGTACCTCCTAGGTGACCATCGGTGGTTGTAGTAGATGTAAATTTGACCATGCCGTGAACCAACCGCCGCTCTTTACAGTCGGAGCTTAATTTACGCGGCAGTAATATTACCTTTCACCCAGATATAAAGTTCAAGTTGAGGCACTGCCCTTGACGTATCGCTAGAAACCCATAATATGACGCCATTGATTACCTCTAGCTTCGCATACTCTCGGCGGGTACCAGCTCTTATGCTTTGGGGGTTTTGGTCACTTATGTAACTTTAAATCGTACTCACTAGAAACTACAAGCGAAAATGCAAACGAGCAGACATCGCTCATATTGTCTTTGCAGACAACCTGTTCCGAGCTCTGAGGAGCAAACAGGGACCCTAGGCTTGTCATACACAAAGTTGAGTTCGAAAAATTCGGAGCTCGCTGATTGAACATCAGCGAGCTCCGACTTTTTCTAACTCAACTACGTGAAACGCGAAAGTCCAGCGTCATCATCATGAGAGTTCATCTCATGATGATGACGCTGGACTTTCGACGGCGACCTCGCCAACTTTCGGCTCCAACTATGTGTCTGGTGACTCTCGAGCGCCCGAACAAGCTATCGGGTAGAGAGCCGCATATAGAGAGAGTTCGGCCTTTCATTGGGAAGTAGAAGAGTCAAATGACGAGACGCCATTGGCCGAAAGCGTGCTGGGCGTGTTCCAGGGCGTCTTCACAAATTTGAATATGGTCAACCAGAAACCGGAAATAATGCCCTGGTGGTGGTCGGGAGAAACCAAATTAACAAGTGCGTCGGAGTGACCCTTGGTGACTGAAAATATGGTGCACGGGATGTTTCAATCACGTTCATCCAAAATCATGGCGGAAGAGCACGGCTAGCGGAACGATCGACATAGTCCGTATGCCAGGCACCGAGGGCCGGAAATCTGCCGTCCGAGGGGTCAGACTCTGTTCGAGCAAAACAGAGTTCGAGCGACACATTTGTTTTTACACCTTTCTGAATGATCAATATCGCAACATCACGTGAACCCTAGTGTCAACCGTAAAGGGTTTCTACGTTTAAGTCTTGCGCTCTTATTACAGCCACATATCTATGCTTGAAACTGTGTCTCGCTACCACCGCTAGGGGTTTCTTTTCGGCTTTTGTTTGGCCAAGAGAGCATGTCAAGCCCTCTTTCTGCGTCTGGTGCACGCCCTCGCTCCGCCCGCTCCTTCCATTGACCTAACTCTCTCTATACACGGCTCTGATTGGACATTGAGATAACTGAGGGTACTCACACTCCAGCGTCGCAAACAGAGCAGAGACGGTGCTTACCTTCGGTACCATAAGGGACACGTCACCCGAGAGTAAGGTTTCTTCTTGTCCAACGAAGCAGCACTCTTCAGCTCAGCGCCAGTCTGGGCTCCGGTGCTGGTCATTGGAGATCCTTACGAGCTATGGCAGGCATTATGGCACCAGTCTCCGTTTATGTAGAATGACGGTCTTACAAGGCTCTCCTCTTGAGTGGTTATCCTCGATCCGCGTCTTGGAAACGTGAGGTCTAATTTGCTCCAGCAATCAGTTCATATTTAGGAGAAAATTACACGGCCGTAAACAACCGACGACGGAAAAAAAAACGACACCCGAGATTCCATTTTGCGAGGCCATTTTGTTTTTTTTTTGGTTCGTTTTTGCTTTTATATTCAGAGCAATTGTAAATGCTTTTAGTCTCAGGTAAACATCACCACGCCCCCCCCCCCCCCCCCTCTTTTTCACACAATATCAGTGTTCCAAGCGAGCAAATTTAAAACACAATTCCAGCGCCACTTAAAATTTAACGTCATTGTCTTCCTTCCTTCGCAATAGCCGCGCGGTGACGTTTCCCTGGAATTATGCAGTTCCGTTCAGAAACACGGATGTTCTGGTGACACGCGGGAATTTCTCGAGAGCTCGAGCTAATTTCGCTGACAAAAACATCCCATTCATCGTGGAGTCTCTCGCCACGGTACTGCCCGTAACCGTCTCGTTGTTGTTGTTTTTTCGTCTTTGTTTTACTATAAGCGCGGTCTGTTCAGATCCTCTTTGTGGTACTAATTGTTCTGATATGTTACTAGCTGACACGGTTTCCCTGTTTTCCTTTGGGCTAAACAAAATATCGTACTTTACGCACTATGGTCTGCGGACTATACATGTTTAAAAAAGATTATTCCCTTCTTCCCTTCTCAAGGTGCACTACGTTCTCGCCGTTGTACGTTTGATAACACTTCGCACAACTATAATGAGATGGGGTATACTAGTTGCTGGAACCTTCAGAAGATATCTGTCACTACCCTTGCCGAGGAATGCCGAACCTTAATCTAAGGCCGGATATTCGTTCCACCATTGTGGTGATAACCTGGATCCAACATGTCGCTCAGGTGCTTTAATATGGTTGTTAGGAGGCACACCTTTAGCCGGCCCGCTGCTGCCGTCCTTTTCAGTCACACATGCTGTACATACTTCGCTTGCTACACTCGCCACACTACGTGCTCGCATCCTCTGCAGAGATCATTTGCAATACATACGTATTGCACCAAACGTGCAATACGGAGCGGACAAGGCGCACACGAGTGTTACTAAACACGAGTGTGGTACTCCACTCAAGCCCTTGTCGTCGGCTTCTCCCTCTTATATGCCTTGCCATAGTTTTGTTTAACCCGAGACTGGGGTATTTCAGAAAAGGGACGAGAAGAAAAGAGGCCACAAGGAGGCGACGTCTCAAACACAGCTAAGGATTTTATTCCATCGTACGCACTTTTATACACACCACGTCCACACACCACCAACCAAGTCGACCAATGACAACACCCGGAATACGCTAAGCCAAACATAGGCCCAAAACAAAAGAAAAACCTTTCAGCCAGACAAAAGGACAAGATAAGCCTCCGACTACACAAAGTCAACAAAGAACTGTTAAAAGGTTTTTTTTCAAACCCGCAAACACACGGAACCAAAGGGAAAGAGGGTATACAAGACCTAATTACACAAAGCCAAGCAACAGTGTTGCTTGGCTTTTGTAATTAGTAGTGTTGGACGCTGTAAAAAGGTCGAATGTTGGGTTTGGAAATAGTTGTAGTTTTGTGAATGGTGACCAATCCGCTGAGGCTCGGAGGTGCGGTATTGTGAATCCTTGTAAAGTCGCACTTACAGAGAGGACGGAGGAATTGTTGAGAGGAGGACCGAAGTTTTGTGTAAATGTAAAACCGTCGAGAGTAGATGTTTTTTCCGCGATCCAGACAATTGCTAGAAAAGTAGGGTTAGACGAAAGGGTTGCTTTTGTGGACTACGCGGTCAGTAGAAAGGAAAGAGTAGTGGATGATTCGTATAAAAAAGACAGGAGGAATTTTCAGGCCATCACGGAAGTAAGAAAGGACTTTAAATCTAGATCACTGGAATTGTTACAGACCGATAAGAGCGGTATGTTTGCCGTCCTTCCATTGGCGGTTTTTGAAAAAAAGTCAACAGAGGCATTGGACTCGGTATTCATGGCATGGCAAGGCAAGTTGGGAAAATTAAGGAAGGACATCTCAGCTACACTTAAAGACGAGGGTTTAGAGACCTTAGCCAGGAAAGTCCTGATTCAGCCGAGAAGTACTTTAAGTTTAAAATTCTTCTTAAAGGACCACAAGCCGGAAATGCCGTTCCGCACGGTTATTAATGAGAACGGAACGTGGCAAAGCATGGTTTCGAAGTTTCTTCAAAAAGGTTTAGACTTCGCTAGATTGGAAAACAGTCTTTCGTTAAGAAACTCAGACGATTTTGTTCAGATTTTAGATGCTCACCATGGGAGGCAATGCTCGTTGATCTCGATGGACATTAACGATCTGTACTATTCTCTTGAAAAACAGCTGTTGATGAGTAGGGTTAGAGAGGCTTTGGAGCGTAATTTGGTAAAATTTCAACCAGGTACGGGGATTCCGGTAGATAGTTTTTTAGCGATCCTGGATCTTTATCTTAAAGCCACGGTAGTGGAGTTCAAGGAACGCATGTGGATTCAAAAGAAGGGTGTGTGTATTGGGTCTGCGGTGGCACCTATTTTGGCAGAAATTTATTTAAACTCTTTGGACAACGCGATCTCGGAAAGGCTGGCAGTTTGGGGGTCGGGTGAAGTTTTAGTGAGAAGGTATGTTGATGACATTGTGGTCATGAGCTTTCATGGGAAGGATACGGGAGCAATAGAGAGTCTGGTGAGAGCCTCAGCACCGGAACTTACCTTTACTGTTGAAGAGCCAGACAGAGGAGTTTTGCAGTTTTTGGATTTACGTATTCACGTAATGACCAATTCAAATTGGTCATTACAGACACGTCATACCATGATTTATTTTATGGCTCAACTAAATGGGGGGGGGGGGGACAATGAGGATCACGCTGTCAACAAGCGCACTAGTTTGCTTCATGAAGTTCCTAACAATGAAAACCAAAAAAACGTTCAAAACGAGAGACCAAAAAATAAGAACAGTTTGTAAACTACCCATAAAACTTCATAATCACTTAGAAACATTTTTATGTCATTAATTAAAGAAGTTAAGGTGATGAGTTTGATTTGTTCGAAGGACTAGATCCTTAGAATAAAAGTGATTTCTCTACATATCACGCAGTTCGCAGTTTGCAACATTTAACCCTGCGTTGCGGAGAAATATGTTCACCAACATATTCACATTTCCCGGATATACGTAAGAATTAAAACAACATCAGTTAAGGCTCTACAAATGTCCAAGCGGCTTTTATATTTAATTACTCTTTGCCTGACATAAAAAAACCTCAAATTGACAAAACCTGCATTTCCTCAGCCATGTTGGAAGTTTTCTTCAGGGTTTGATCATAGGGTACAGCTGCCACGTCTTAAACAAATGTTATGAAAGTTTTTAAAACATGGCAAACCAGAAAATATTTGAAATATTTGTCAGTCTGGGGAGAGGGGGGATGGGGGAAATCCGACGCGTAAAGCTGCATATTGGCTATTCAAGCCAAAACGTTTTTTTTTTTTTCAGTTACGTAGCCTGCAGACTCCCTTCCCAAGACGCTCATAATCATTATTCATGAGAGTATGCAAGTTTTTACGGCTATGGGTATATAGCTTTAAAAGGCGCATTCATTTTAAAATAATTTATCTCATGTTAGAAATCTCCCTTGCTATAAAAAAAATACTCCACATTTTTACCGCAACACTGAGGGATATCCTTTTTTTGTAAGATTATGAAACGCCCACATATCAAGACCCTAGGTTCTCAAACTTAGTTTCCAAAGACCCAGGGATTCCCAGGAATTCCCTTAAGGGTTCCTCGAGGTATCGAAGTTCCTGGACCTAATTGAAGAGTTCTTTCATTTTAAGCACTATTTTAGTTACACAGCAGTGAACAACCGCTCACTGCTGTGTAACTTTGAGCCAAGCGCTCCCTAGTATGCAAATGATCGTTTGTGAGGTCTACTTCTTCACTGTTGTACTGTATCAGTGCCAAGACCGAGAAAGGTTCTCCGGCTGCCATTCGAGGCTAATAGGGGTTCCTTGAAAAACCTACAAAAATAAATGCAAGCTTGGTTAAAACAAACGTGCCAAAAAAGAAAAAAACATTTACGCGCAAAAACGTTAGAGTAGTATTGACGGCGCTAGACGGGATTTAGTTGGTAGTCACCTCTTTTTTATACTTGTTTTCTCTCTCGGTATTTAGGGCATGTGGAGGAAAGGTGGATCGGCTTCACCTTCACGACCGAGATGGTCCTTTCGGAATGACCCGTGACGTTTTGGACTTCGCGCGCAGCATTTCAAATAAATCTCTCGCCGTGAATTTTGGTCTAAACTTTTTTTTTTCGCGTAAAACATATTTATTAACTCGCGTGTTCCAATCGGACTGCTTTAAAAAAGATTTCTTTTTCTTTTTATGTTTTTTTTAAGATCTGAATTTTGAAAACCCCGGATTTAGATGTTGACATTCTTTATTTCTGCAAACCTGGATGCAAAGCTGGTAATAGAACGTGAGTGTTTTAATAGATCCATGCAGAAGCATGAGTTTGGTATGTGTGTGTGTGTGTGTGTGTGTGTGTGTGTGTGTGTGTGTGTGTGTGTGTGTGTGTGTGTGTGTGTGTGTGTGTGTGTGTGTGTGTGTGTGTGTGCGTGTGTGTGTGTTAACGTTTACAATGACCTACAAAGAGTAAGTGGCCAATAAACTTGTTTTTTCCTGTATTTTTTACCAAGCTTTTACATTTGGCATTCAAACCCGTAATAGGTTCGACATGGAAACGCTCCTCACGTGCGGGAGTTGCCCTACTTTCTTGAAAACTGCCAGGAGTGGTTCGAAGTGACACATTTCGTGTTACTGTCGTAGTTTGTGTTACAATTGTAGGTGCTATTATTTAAGATATATTTTTGAAGTCACCGCGTAATCAGATTTATTATTTGGGATAGAAGAGGCGTCGCTATACATTGTCTCGTCAACGCTGTTCTCAAGGAATACTAATCTAACAATCCGGAATCCGCTCAAAACAGAGCATTTCACTTAATGCATTGTAATTATCGCACTGAGAAATAAGAACTACGTCAGCCAACTAAACTAGGCACCCTTTTTGCCGCCGCAGAGTCACAACGGAACACTCAGATAAAATTTACTATCGACTCATGACCTTATTTTTCGTCGCTTCGAATATTCTTGGAAATCACGCGCAAGTTCCTTACCCACTGTTTCTTATCAAATGTTTACGTTACGATTGGATATGGGAGCTGAAACCAATTAGTAACTATATTTATTTCTAAAAGACTAATACATTTTCATTACTATACTCTCTTCCTGTATAGCCCTAGTGACTACGTTGAAATTAGTTTAATATTATGTCCCGTTGTGATGACTGCTATTTCATATATGCCCATTTTATTATGCAATTCTCACTCGAGCCCTCAAAAATTAATAAACATTATTATCGATTAAACGCCTCGGTTTCCTTAATTAGTTATTTCGAATAGGGTCGGAATACTTCCCGGTAATCTTATACGGTGAGGAATGGTCGGTGTTTCTTCCAACTCAAGTTTCAGCGCACGTATATAAACTTACCTGTGCGTGTGCATTCGTTTTTGTACGAAATAGTCTTGCTCAATAGGTATATGTTTTATTTATGTATCCACCCATGTAACAGTACAAATGGTGCCTTCAACGTTCTGTGTTTTTATTCCTTTGATTGCATGATTATGATTGAAAATGGTGAAGTCATGAGATTTTCCGTGACGGGTGAATGTTGATATGAAATTATGTGAAGTACTACGTCAACAGAAACACTTTTGGTTGATAAGAACATCACGGATGGGACTTCATGCCCTGTTGCAAAGCTCAAAGTTACTACCCGAAAGAAGCTGTTGATATACGTTCGGCAAAGAAACATTAAAAAAAAAATTACAAGTTCAAAGCGAGTAGGAAGGAAACATGATACATTAGTGGCGTTTTTATAATCTGTTGAACACTTTTTCCAAAATAAAAGATATTTGAAATATGGTCTGTGAGAGTACCGTAAAATTTTCAAGTGTTTTTATTTCAAAGCAAAACTTTGTAGCATGTAGAACGTTAACAATGATGTGCTTCATATTTTTCCGGCCGCTGCAATTTATCAACGATAGAATTATTCACAATAAAAGACAATATGACTAAGGTCTGACTAGTTGGCGAACGTGGCGATAAAAATAGTCCTCCATCCATAACTACAGCTGAGCAGGTGAAGGCGCCACTCATCAGCGTGCACTTGTCGGCGTATTTTCTCGAAATATTTGCAAGACCCTTTGTCTATCGTAGCACAAATTCGATAACAGCATACCGTCCTGTATTTCACATGTTAATCTGGCCTACCTCGATCGGTTGTTCCGAAATAAGGTCGCGTTGGATCTAATAAAGCGATGTTATTAGAACCAAGCAGATACTTTCGGCCGTCTTCAAAGGTCATAAATACCCGATCAGAAACATTAGTACACTACTTGAGCTACTGAGACAATGATATGATTGAACTGCCTCAAGCATGTCACTGCATGGCTCATGAAAGGAATCATGAATATACTTGTGTGTTCATTCCTTAGACTCAGTCACGCGACATTCACCTCACTAATCGCACTTTCCGTTGACGGCCTTGCCATTCGCATGCTGAGCAAGATCGACTTGACCATTTGTCAGTTTGGGACCTCTTCGTCTCATATACGATTGGATATAGAAGTTTACAAAGAGACTTAAAATAAGAACCGTCTGAGCAATGGCCACGTGAATGAGGTGCCTCGGGAAACCGCAGTCCACGAAGAGCGGGATGGACATGTGCCCGATGAAGATGACAAACTGCACAATCTGCATCGTGGTCAGGTACTTCTTCCACCAGAGGTACTGCCTCACATTCGGACCTAGCGTGGCAAGGAAGTAGTAGGCGTACATGACAACGTGGACGAACGCGTTCATGGCGAGTCCCAGGGCGGGCTGTCCCTCTGGAGCGAACAATACCCAGAACCACGCGTTCACCGCCACCACGGTGTGGTGGATGACGTGCAGATGCGTTATATGCGTGAACTTCTTGCGCAGGACGAAGAAGACGGTGTCCAGAAAGTCGGCGTACCGCACGGCGACGTACCAGGACGCAGATTCGTACAAGCCGGCCAACTGTTCTGTCATCCGGCCCGTGATCCCCTGGCACCAGAGGCTGTATTCACCTCCCGGAAGATAGGTGTAGATGAGGACGATGTAGAGAAACCTCGCGTTGAGGAGGACCATCGCGAGGTTGTAGAAGCGGATGAGGTTGATGATCTGGAAGGGTTCCTTGTCCTTCATCCACCTCGGACCGGCCACTTTGACGAAGTAGAGGTAGGCCATGACTAGCGGGAACACGAAGAGCGGGTTCATTACCAGCGTGTAGTTTCGAGTCCGGGGGTCTCCAAGCTGTTGGAGCTCGCTGAAGAACTTAACCGGGTTCATGGTCAGCGTCAAGCCTGTGGTGTCGTTTCCCAACATTTTGGTAGGCCTTGTTTCCTTCAAAACAATAACAATACAAAAAATCTTGCAGAATATCAAAACAAAAAATAACAAAAAACAAATCGCGATTTTTTTTTTTTTTTTTTTTTGTGTTATAGCGAAATATTTAGTAGGCTTAGTTTTACGTCGTCCGAGCGGAGCCGACGTAACGAAGCTGCTCCAAAAGTGCATACTTTTTGGTTTGAAAAACTGTGTTTTTGCATGTGTGAAAAAGTATTTCTGTTTTTATTATGAAACCTCCATGGGAGACGAAGGTAATAAATACGTAGATTAGAAAATAAAATCGTTTTGGCGCTTGTACTCTCTGTTCTCTCGACATCACCGGGTAAACCAGTCCGGCACAATAAACACGCCGTAATTCTGCTCTTTTATCTTTGCGTGATTGGTTTAACCAGTGATTGAAAACCAACAAAAACGACGAGGGCAGTGACGAGGAACTTTTGACGCTGCTTGACAGGCGCCATCGGATCGTAGCGTCAACTGTGCTCGGACTGGGGTGTGAAGTGGACTAGGAACAGGACACGAAAGGGTACAAACACACGAGGGTACAAGTGTCGCACTGAATCTTAATGTACTTTTGTGACATATCCACATTATGTTCCGGCTTCTTGATTCGTGATTCGTTATTCGCCGTTCTCATTGGCTAACGTCGGGGTCTTATTGGCTGAGGAGCGGTAATTAGATGTCCGAGACTTGCCAAGCGCCGCCTTTCTCGATCTACCAGTGACTTTAGGCTCGGTGTTTTATTTTATAAAACACCGAGCCAGAGATTCGGTGTTTTATTTTATAAAACCGAACCAGAGATTCTGAGCCGTCGAAGATGGGTAGAACAAAGGGCTAGCGTTTTATTCTTTGCTTGCTCAGTTTCAAGTCGAAGCGATCGAAGACCCTGCAGCGTGGCTGCCTGCTGCCCACCACAGCTTAGTTCATTCCGTTTCTCACATTAAGCTTAACTTAGATTTTTAATGAAGGCAACTCGGTTTTATTCAACCTCCACAGTTGGCGTATTAAAATTTCGGCCAAGGTAGCGGCGATCTGGCGCAAGTTATTTGATTCTTTAGTTATCCTTTAACCGAGATTTCGCTTCCACGCTGAAAAATAGAGGGTGGTTCCAATTAATCCCACGTCCACAACAAGGATCTACTAGGTGACCATCGGTGGTTGGACATCTAAATTTGAGCACGCCGTGAACCCAACGTTGCTCTCTACAATCGGAGCCTGACTAATACGACGAGAAAGCAATATTACTTCTCGAAAAAATAAAATCCAAGCTGAGTCACTGAGCGCGACGAATCGCTCGGTGAGTGTCTTCGGTTAGGCTTGCCGTCTTGGAAGAAACGACCAAAGCATCAAGACTGAGGATAAGATGCCACTGATTAACTCTATCCTCGGATACTCACGGCATGAACTATCTTTTAAGCTTTTTGCGTTTTATACTTTCGCGTAACTTTTCATCGTACTCAGTGGAAACTACCAGCGAAAATGCTAACGAGCGGACTTCGCCCGTGCTGTCTCAGCAGAAAACATGCTCTGATTTCTGAGGAGCGAACAGGAGCCCTAGGCTCTGGTCATACTCAAAGTTGCCTTCGAAGTTTACGGAGCTCACCGATTGAACTCTCGCGATGATGACGCGGCGGCGCTTTTGTCGGCGAGTCCGACATCTTTAGGCTCCCACTTTGTGCTTAACGAGTGTATAGCACCCGAACGAGCTAAACGGCACTGATATCACAGCATATTCCGGGCTATAGTCCGCAGGGCGAATTCGGGGTCAAAAATAAAAGTTCTTGCTTAATTAGTCCGGACACACTGTATAGTCCGCACGCCGTGCATAGTCCGCATTTGGTGCTTTGGTCGACGCGAAAATCTTCTCATACACGGCACGCCATGACAAATGTTTGCTTTCTTATCTTACAAAGAAGCTTGTATTATACATAAATCCTCATTAACATCCTGTTTCGTTCCCGAAATCTGTCGCGCCTGGTCATAATGAACGATCTTGAAACACAAGATTCTTGTATTGTGCGCACGTCCTCAAATTTCAACTTTTAAACATGTGTAGTCCGCGAACCCTAGCCGGGAAAATGCGGTCCTCACACACTAACGTCGCAATCAGAGCAAAAATTCTACATACCTTGGTTACTTTAAGAAACACGTTATCCGAAGGTAAGTTTCCTTCTTGTCCGACGAAGCAGCACTCTTTAGCTCAGCGCCGATCTGGAATCGGGCGTCGCTCGTCGGAGGTCCTGCCGAGCTATGGCAGGCACTGTGACACCAGTCTCCGTTCTTGTAGACTGCCGATCTCACAAGGTCCTCTTCCTCAGTGGTAATCCTCGGGTGGTGCCTTAAAGACGTGCGGACTAAACTGCTTCGGCAATTAGTTTATATACGGGAGATAATTACACGGCCGTAAACAAGAGGGCAAAAAAAACCCTACTCTCGAGATTTCATTTTGCAATATCAGTGTCTCTATTACTTGTGCGTGTCTTTTGTTATGTTCAGTGGAATCGTAAACGCTTTTAACCTCGGGAAAACACCCCCCCCCCCCCTCCCTGCCCCTTCGCAATATCAGTGTTCCAAGAGAGCAAATTTGAAAACAAACAGAAGTGACACTTACAAGTTAATGCCATTGTCTCCCTGTTACAATAGTCATGCGGTGGAGTTTCCGTCGAATTATGTCGCTCCGTTCGCAAACACGCCTTTTCTGGTGACACGTGGGGATTTTTCTTGCAGCGCGTGTTAATTGTCGCTGACAAAACCATCGCTATAATCGCGGTTGGCTTCAACACAACACTGCCCGCACGCGTCTTGTTTTTCCTTTTTATCATTTTTATATTTTTTTTTGTAAACGCAGCCTGTCCAGGTTTTTTTCGCGTTGATAATTGTTCTGATATGCTACTAGCGGACATATATATGTATGGCGTTCGTGTTTTCGCCTGGGCTAAACAAAATAACGTATTCTCCGCACTGTTGTCCGCAGGGCTATACATATTTCTGCAAGTTGTTGAATATAAAGGGGGTGCGGGCTATTTACAGGCGAGGGCTATGCAAGATTTTGTTTTTTCCTAGACCATCCATTAGGACGAGACGTGTCCTACTTCGTAAAGGAAAGAGTATGTTAATGGTGATTTGTGTATGAACCAATCTTCTGTGCGAGCTACTAAAGCAGACATTTCTCTAGATGTGGTGAATACAAAATTCTTTTGCACGCGGACTGGGCACCAGGGACTGACTATGCAGCGAGCGGGGAACGTGCACCGGTTGCCAACTATCCAAGGAAAAACTCTATTTTCAACCAAAATGTTCCACTGCGGGAGCGGATTCTAGTCTGGAAAATACGATACAAAGGTATATTGATATGTTTTGTTATTAAGGACTGATATATATATATATATATATATATATATATATATATATATATATATATATATATTTTTTTTTTTTTTTTTTTTTTTTTTTCACTTGAGGGCACAAGATGTATTTAGAGGATTGAAGATCGACCTCAGCATGGTCTAGCCTTGTTGTCAAATTTGGATAAAAAAAATTCCTAGTAGGCGCTACGGGGTCAAGAAATGTCACTTCGGTAAATGGCGTCCAACCGAAACTAAACAGGAAAGAGCATAAAAACCGAAACCGAAACTAACCGAAACTAAACAGGAAAGAGCGCCGGTAAAGTTATCGCTCCCCCCTTCCGGGCATGCGATTCGTCATTATCGCGGCCGGCTCCACTTGCTTAGGCGAGCCGGCCGCGATAATGACGAATTATGTTATGTACATTATGTGCCCTCAGGTGAAAAATTAAAAAGTTAGTTAAAATATGTCCGTTAATTAGCTCACTAATTACCTAATTTCACCTTTTTTCTATAGGCCTCCATGGCAACTAACACTTCCCCATGGCTCAAATTACTCTAGCTCGCGTTGTTTTTTTTGTTTTGTTTTTTTAAATTGGGTGCAGCTAAAAAAAGACACTTTATATATATATAGAGAGAGAGAGGGAGAGACTGTGCGGAGATAATGGCCGGTCTTCTGGGGAGAGTATGTCGCTTCCGGTTGGCTATTGTTTTGGTTTGTTTTTAGCCCGCAGTTAGTAGCGAGTACTTTAAAAGTTTCACCACCGAGGACTACCTGCGGTACCGCCGGAATTTTACTTTTACGGAATCGACACGCCTTCTTAATGATCCCTTAAATATATACACACAAAAAAAAAAACTTCTTCCTAGAAAAAAAATTACAAATATGCCTAAGGTATCGCAGGCGCATCTTCATGACTACCTATAAGAGCCGCCTGGTTCGTATACCTCAGAAAGACTTAAAACCTACGCGTCCTTAAATACGCTCAACTACCTCGATCGTGAATGGCATGGCATCGGCGATGGACACCTAACTCCCCCAAACGCCGAAGATATCCACCGAGCTCCCCGCATGGGTCGCCGACCCCGGCCTTGGTCTCAGCAGACAATCTTAATTCTGAAAGGTTATATTACACTTCCTTCAGCGCGACGGGATTATCTGTAGTGCACTATAGTCTAATGTTTTTACTCGCTCGCTTTGGTATTCAATGTTTCTTTTCCAGAGCAACGTGTCACCTTGGATTTCTACGTGCTGTGATGGCCCGGTTGGCACCTATCACTTTGGAAGACGGTTGGTTGAGGCGCCACTGGTGGCGTAGCCTCCAGTCTGTCGCTTTGCGCCATCTGTCGGCAGCACCTCAAAGCAGGCTAGAACCGTCTGCTAATGCCGCCGCCCTACAGTCACCAAGGCTCGGCGGCGAACGGTGGCGTCTCGAGATAATCAAAAGAACTTTACTTGTGCACTAAAGTACGTGCGTCTGCTTTCCCGCACAACACTCCGAAAGCCAATCACCGCAACTTACAGAGGCAGCTTAGCGAATGACGATGCCGAAACATATGTTTCGGCATATGTATATATATATCTTTTTTTATCATTGTTTT